GAGAGAAGAAGAAGAAGAAGAGAGAGAGAGAGAGAGAGAGAGAGAGAATGTCAAATATGCTTGACAGTTTGTCTGAAAACAAAATATTGACTCGACTGGAAATCGCGAGTATCTACTTTCTAAGTGCATCGTTCGGTTTAGTTTCGCAAAAAAAGTGGAAAGAAAAGAAAAAATATGGACAAATGAGTAATCCTCCCCAGCAGAAATGAAATCAAACAAAATTTTATGGCCCACTCCTATGCGGGTGATTCACGTTTCTCAGATCATTTACGTCAACCGATCGATCACCTTACGCGAAGGAGAGTTCTTTAAAATGCATTTAAAAAAAAGAAAATCTTGCAATCTTTGTCGTCACGATCAAGCAAAACTGAAAAATATAACAGCGAAAACGAGAACGTCTGCACAGGAAAATAGAAAAAGAGACCACGAGGAGGGATCGAATAATTATTAAAATTATTAAAATCTAAATACTTCGTAAACGTTGTAACGATATTCTCTATAATATAAATATAAATATATATATATATCGTTGTACGATGTTCACGAGTGATAAAGAAGTGGTACGTTACCGTCTCGGAACCGGCAGCAGTGACCAATTCCTGCAAAGCTCGCACCGAGAGAGCCTGCTCTATTACGAATACGCATTGCGACAGGTCGGGTGGTATGTTCTGCAATTGTAAACAAAAACATGCAACTTTTTCACTTTCCCCTCCCCTTGCTTCATTTAGAAAGTGGTACGAGAAAGAATTGGGCGGCCACCCAACGGTTAAATACCTTACCTTATCCGCGATATTCTCGAGGAAACAGTGCCGATTACCAAATCCCTCGGCTGCGAGGCAAACTCGTTCACCGGTTGCCGTGCAGGACAGACATACCATATCCTCCTACGAATTCCAATTCCATATCCGATTCAATTTCTCATCGTTGTTCGACTAAGTTAAATTAATTTACTTAGAGCTAAGAGATGCAAACGTTGATCCACCTTCGTATTTTCGTACAATATAACCGTGCAATTTATTGCCTATTATTCATTTTTTTTTTTTTTTAAAGAAAAAATCGTCGAAAGAGATTTCGATCGCGGAGTTGAAGAGGAAAAAAAAGAGAAAAACATTGATTCATTGATGCGTTGGAGAGATACGAGGAGAGCAACGTCGATCTTTGCGAAACGTTGAAATATGATGTGAGCCAAGCAGCAGATGTTACACACTGTGCCAAAACCAATTTGGACGGTCTCAAGAATGTGCGCCACTAGTTTTCCACGAGCGTATATCGGGAAACGCTTTCGAAGCGTTTCGAAGTAGCGGATTTGTCAGGGGAACGATGCCACTGTGTTTTTACCACACAGAGTGTTAGAGTGTTGCTTAAGTAAGTGGCATTCTTCGTGAGGTTGTACATGAGTCACTCGGTCTTATTCGATCGAGTTGTCACGCGATTCCCACCATACGTGGGATTCGTTTTTAAAATCGAGCACACGAAACGATTTCTCATCGACTCGACAATTTTGCACATCTTTGCGCCGGGATTAAACCGACGATTCTGCGCTACAATGTAGCCAAATGTAGTTTTAAAATTACGATCACGCGACAAATTTAGAATCTCGAAGATTCGAACGTGGAAAGTGTTATAACTCGATCGGGAATATAATTGCGATCGAGGAACGATACGTTCAACAAGATTATTTCTATCGCGCACGATCCGTCGTGCGGTATTGGCTCGCAAAATTCCGTGACATTTCTCAATTTACAATTTACAACGTCGAGACTAATGACGGTTCCGCTCCATTACTTTACAGGCAAATATTTTTCACGCGGATAAATGGCGCACGCATGCGAAACGCGCGTAACACGAACATCGTTGGGGAGGGAAAAAAGGAGAGAAAAAGCGAAACGAGCTCGAATTAACATAATGTGTTACTGGGTTACATGGAAAAGCACGCGAGTCTCGTCTGACACGGTTTACAATCGCCGATTCTGGGGAAAAATCGGGAGAAATTCGTCGAGAATGCTCGCCGAGTTCGATCGAATAATCTATAAAGTGGATCGCCGATTTTCGCCCATCATCGAGCTCTCCGATTGCTATTCTTCGTGGCGCCCATCGCGAAACGATGGTAGAATAACGTAGATTCGAATAAATCAATTATTCCCCTCGCCCTCGCGGATCGAAGCTGCAACGTGTTGCAACCTCGGGTCAAGGGTGTGTCTGTATTTTCAGCGTCCGACAATCCGGCGCGTATCTCGTCCGAGCGGATACTAAATATAAATCACATTGACTTTTGGATATGAATCGGCAAGCTATATTTGCATTCCGCGATCTTTTTCGACATTTAACGATATACGTGTACGCTACTTGCCAAAAAATATATACATATATAACTGCTCGCTACATTCACCATTTGCGAATTTGCGAAAAAGAGAAACGAGATTTGGAATTTTCAATTTATTTTATCAAACGATTACACGATTAAAATGATGTACGATCTCAATTATCGATCGATTCACTTACAAACTGAAATTGCCGTGAAAACGTCAGCGATACATTCTTTCCACTCTCGCAATATATGAGTGAACCACCGAGTGAAACCGAGCCTGTGTTATTAACGCACGGTCGGTTGCTTTTCGACGTGAAATCTTTAATGAAGAGCTGTATTGATTACACGGAACAATGCAGCATCGATTGCTAAAATTAACTGTCGCCACGCTCTTAAAGAAGAAAGGGAGAGAGATAGAGAGAGAGAGAGAGAGAGAGTCGTGGTAGGAGG